ACGTACTCGCGCACTTCCATGACTAGCTTTCTTGGCGGCTTCGAATTCTAACGCATGGGCCAAAGCTTTCTCAATTTTGTCGTGCCTAGCCAGTCTCAAAGCCTGCTGGGCATCTCCATCACGAACGGCATCGATAAATGTTTGTACAGCCAGTTGATCAAGAAAGCTCTCCGGTGCCGTAGGGTATGCCAATCGAATCAGTCTAGCGATGTCCGCTTCAAGTTCCTGCAAACTTTCTCCAGGTTTCTGCATTCGGTTCTTGACTTGGGCATAGTAAACTTGCTGAAGGTGTTTATCGCCATATCGCATTTCGAGTCGCGCTACTATTTGTTGGAAGTTCTGTTGATCCTCGGGGATGGTCCGCAACACATCCAGAGCATCTCCTCTCAGAGCAAGAATCAGGGCTGTAGTTTTGTCTTGAAGAGTCCATTTATTTGCCGCAGCCGCTGCTTCAAACTGTCGAACGTACGTGGTCCAAGGAATCTTACCATCAAAAGTAGGTGGCTTTACTCGGGCTTGCTGAACGTCGCCTTCTACTCTTGTATTTGTTTCTGGGGCACTACTAGTACGCTCTTTCGTAGTCAGTCGCAAGAATTGCTCGCGCAGCTCTTCATACTTGTGCTCAATCTCAACGAATGTTGCTTTAAATGTTTTGGAAACTTCCGTAATTCTATCTTCAACTTTTTCTTCAATTGATTTAGAGACTTCTTCGATAATCTTTCTAGAATTTTCCTCCATCTTCTCGAACTTCTCTTGAATATTTCTAGAATTTTCTTCATTAATCTTTCTAGAATTTTCTTCCAACTTCTCGAACTTCTCTTGAATATTTCTAGAATTTTCTTCATTAATCTTTCTAGAATTTTCCTCCATCTTCTCGAACTTCTCTTCAAAATTTCTAGAATTTTCTTCAATCTTCTCGAACTTCTCTTGAATATTTCTAGAATTTTCTTCCATCTTGTCTTGGTTGCTTTTCATTTCTTGTTGCAACACCTGTTGGCCATTTTGGATTTGCTGGAGCAAATTGAGCATCGTTTCTTCCATTTTAGCGGCAGCAGATCTTGTTACAGGCATACACAAGCACAAGCACTTAATTTAATCTTACTTTTAATTAATTTAATTAATTCCACTTCTGACACCAATGTAACGTTATTTATAAATTCGGGTTCGATTTATATCAATATTTATTAAACAGAACTAAAACACTATAAAATCCGCACAATTTATATCGATTATTTATATCACTCACACTTCGCAATTTATATTTCCGCGCTCGATGTTTACGTACTCGTTCGGTAGTAGACTGCCGCGATGTTCGGTCCGCAACCATTTATACACGCAAGCAATGTAAGTCCAGTACATTCTCGAATATTCCTACTATCGCGCGCGTAGAAAATTCCAGAGCGCCAAAGGCGACGTCATGTCTGGAGCATTTCCGTTACAGCTCTTTATGGGTAACATCTTCCGACACTCCGTTCTCGACATATTCGCGTTTACAGTTTTGACCCTACCATTAGATGCCTAGTCCAGATATTTCAATAGCCCTTTGTGATATTCCATTTTCAAGATATTCGCACTGCATGTTTTGGCATCACCAATGGGTATATTTCTTCCATACGTCCCAATCGCCCTTTGTAAGTACCCTCCTCCGACAATCCCCTTTTGAGATAATCCGATTACGATAAGGAGTCGAGGAGGAAGACTATGGTTGGTAGAAATTAGTCCCTTTCTTTGAGACCTTACATTAGAGTACCGTGAAGGATATAACCAGTTCCGCCCCCACCTCCTATTTTGGTAAGGAGTAAAAAAGAAGGCCGGTAGTTGGTAGAAAGCAGTTACTTTAATTAGAAAACTATCAAAGATAAAACCTCATCTTACCCCTTGCAGGACTCTAGGACCATTCCCCTAAAAATAGTTCAACACGCCGGAAGTGGGTCCGGACGGACGGACGGCAGAAAAAACGCAAAAAATAGCACCGGCCAGTATTGGTACGTATTCGTTTGTGAACCATCCGTAGCAGCAGATATCTTATATCAATAAACACATAAAGAGATTCTAAAAAAGCGGCAGAGCACCTCGGTATGACGCCACGGAGTCATTGGATTTGACCCATTTTCAATAGACTTGTTACATGTGGCATATAAGTCTACTGTGCAAAGTTTGAACCGAATAGGTTCAAGCGTTTGCCAGAGACAGAGAGGCGTGACCCCTAGGGGTCATTGGATTTGACCCATTTTCAATAGGGCTATTACTTGTGGAATATAGGTCAACTGTGCAAAGTTTGAAAGTGTTCACGGACAGACGGACACCATCGACTCTCTTATAAAAGCGTGCATCGTTTTGCTCTGTCGCTTAATAATTCTAGCTTAGCAGATTGTAGGCCCCTAAAACCATTGATACACGTTTACCAGTTGGAAAGTTAACAACATTTTTTAACCCCTTTAAATCGTTACCCTCTAAACCAATTGTACATCTCCACATTTTTAACTCGTGTTTGAAAAAAAGTAGCGCTTATATATTCACTTTTACTGCTAATGAAACTGTAGCTATAAATTGCTAATAAAACCATAGTGTAAGTCTTAAGGCGAGAGATAGACTATCAAGTTACTTGCGACAATCTCGCGCGAGAAACTTTCGCATGTATTTACATTGTGAGCAATAAGTGTCGCGATAAACTGTCGGGCAAGTTGGGTGAGCCTTGAACCATTACTGTCGCAATTTCTCACACTAGCAGTTCTTTTAACTTCCGCAAATCCGGCGTTTTGGCGCAAATAGGACATCGTTGTGTTGCCGCGGCTGTAGTATGCAATTTTGTGAAACGCAAAAGAAATGTTGGGTGAGAGAATGTACCTCTAGAAGCGAAAAGTATGGAGCCTACCATAAATTAATTGATGAGCTGAGAATCGGAGAATCAATCCCAACAATTTAAATAGTTATTTACGTTATAAGTCTGGTAGGTTACTTGAAACAGTACGAGTTAGACATTATGGACGAGGCGACGTCAGGAGCCGAGTTTTTTCGAATTTTCAAAAACTAATTTCATATTTGTGATTTTGATGATCAAAAACCCCCAGATACCAAATGTCGTTGAAATCAGAATTTTTTTCGCACCCTCATTTAGAGGTGCGCCCTTTCGTGGTAGGAATTTTGAAAACACTTTTGCAAAATCGAAAAGGACATACCCGAAAACCTATTCAAAGACGTGCCACCAGTCTTTTTAACTCTCATGTTGCTGAGAAAAAAATTAAAGAAGAAATGCAAATTTCACTACTTTTTTGGGGGTGGCTCCCAAACGAAACACGTTGAACCTTCGGTTTATTTGGAAAAAGTGCTTGTTTTGATCTCCTCTTCCACCCGCACTTTTTTTACATACTTATATGTAACACCCTGTATAAAAAGATTACACTTGAAAGGAAAGTGTACACTAGTGTTGCCTTGCTCCGAAAGCGGTGACGTCACTTTGTTGACAGCAGTCGTTTCACGTCCCTTCCGGATTATTCAAATTTATTACATTTAATTGCTCGCTTATTTGTTAATAATTAATACGCACAAAGAGCTATGATAGTTTACTAGTGTAATAGAACAAAAATTACTTCGATTTAAAACTTTTGATAATACCCAATTTGTTAAATGGAAATTGAATTACTCGTATGTATTAGAGGAGCATTTTCTTTTGATTACATCAAAAAAAGTTATTAAATTCCCAAAACCAGTAGGGCTCTGACCAAGTTAACTGAGTGATATCAACGGCAATAACTTCCAGCGCAAATGCAATCACGCTATCAGTATTGTGTGTTGCCTATCTCACAATAGCTTTCTTATGGGAAACATGCCTAACGTAATTCATACCGTTTTTAAAAACTATACATTTTTTTTGGGAAATGTTTGTTGTTTCTTGTTCTTAAATGTATGTAAATTATGAGTGAACAGTTTATATTGCATTAAAACTCATAGCACATTCTCTGAAAGTGTATAAAGTAGACGTTCGATTGCAATGGCAATCTTTTGTGTATAATTCAAAGGTCAAAGAAGTTTTTGAAATATAAATTGTTTCTCCAGATTCTTGAACATATAAGGAATAAAACGTGATGTAAAAATGGATAATACGTGGTTTCTAAAGCACAAACGGTATGAACTCCGTACACTTGAAGAATAACTCGTAAAACAATTATAGAAAAGAAATCTGTGCTCAGTGTAGTTCAACGTGTATCCACTAAGATGGCTACGGTATACTATTCTTACAAAGCGGGAAATTTAAAGTGGAGTACTTATTGGAATGTAGTAATGTACCTACTGTTTAGCAGTATAACTTAGTCCTTTATTGGTTTTGTTGGTCATTAATGCAGATAAAATGTATCCAGCAAAAAACCGTACCATAAGTAGGAATTACACTGGTTAACGTTACCTACATTCAAAATTTGGGTTAGGAAACTGGCAAAAGAAGTATTTATAAACGTTGTTTAGGATCATGGGATTTTTCACTCTACGTTATAATTAATTGATATAAGAATTTCAGAGCTTACAACAAAAAGAAGTTATGTTAGATAGTGTTTCTGAATTGATAATACACAGTGTTAATGCTGCTTACGTTTACCAGACGCAGCGCTTCATGAGCGCTACTTAAGGGCAAGAATACTCTATCAAAATTTCTCGCCCAAGTTGCTATCTAATAGCACTGTCGACATGTACGGTGGTATCACTGATCTAAACTTACTTTCTTTGTAGATGATTAATGGGGGAGGAGGCTCTTTACACATAAACATTTAATAAAATAACTTAATAAAAACAATGCATTTATTATAAAAGTACTTCTTAACCCTGTAAATCAGATAACAACTTACACAAATAAATAATTACTACAGGAAGTGTAAAAGAAAATTTGCTTAGGTATAAACATGCAAGTTTACTCATCCCTTTCAAAAAAGAAATGCATTCCATTCAATAATGTCTAAATATTGCAAAGGTTACGGCATATTGTATAATTATACCACATCAACAGAAAAGTTAATATTAATATAAAAGCATTGCAAATTTGTCAATGTCCATTGCTTCTCCTCTTGCATTATACTGTTAAAAGTATACATTTGTGCAATAATTATTTTTGTAGCAGAATTATTTTATACTATGTTTGACCGTATGTTAGTGATTTGAAATACATTTGCGCACTTAATTTAAGAGATATGTTAAGCTTAACTATACAGTATCAGAAAAGGAGAAATCAGTAACATCGACATTTTCACGGTGAGTATATGCAAAACTAAACCTATTACTGTTCCTTGTACCATAGGACCTATTTCGAAATCCTTCACCTCATTTTGATTGGAATGTTTTTATTTGTTTCATTGTTAAGGCGCACAAACTTCATTTATTGTATTAAATCAACTGTGCTCGTTAAACTGAAGTAGACACCCAACTGCTCCGAAGTAACCCTCGTGCTCCAAGAATAACGCTTTCATCGTTCCATTCGACCAGTAGTCCATGGCGTATGCTAACAATTTCATGGAGATGGGATTCACTCGTAAAAAATTTCCAATGAACACTACCTGTAAACAAATGCCAGATTTATTGACGAGATAAGGTACTTTCGGTTTTTACAAAATTACAATTGAAATCATGCTAAAGATGAACAAGTGCAAATTCTCCTGTTTTGGTAAGAGTTTTAACTTTAATTCATTCTTGATTTCTTTTTTTTTAATCTAGCTTCATTATCACCCATTTGTGTTTATTTTGTAAACATTATATGTATAGTAGTAATTTTTAACTTCTTTTATTTAAATATTTTTAATTTTCCCCATATGTACCCAGGTTTCTTTTATTTTGCGTCTACAGGTTTCTTTCTTTCCTTCATATTTTTTGACGTAAGCAAAATTGTTAGTGCGCATATTTCCACAATGGAATGTTAGAAGGGATAGTCACGATGGGAAAACGGAACGTCTCTCAAAAATGCAGTAAATTATTTCGAGGAGTACCGAAAGAAGATACTCATAAAGAAAAAATTCAAGATCTGGATCAGATGTATTTGTTGGTAAAGTCAGTGTTTCAAGAACGGAATGTTTGAAGAGGGTACATATACCTTCAATCATTTCGGATGGAATGTTGCTATGGTCTTTGACGGATATCCTAAGGATGGGGTAGAGAAGAACACAAAATCTTCCAAACGCATAAGGCGCTATGGTTCTCTGCAGTGTACCAAAGTCACAGTCATGGTGATGACTGGAATATTATTATTATTATCATGTTTGAAGAGTCCTCCATAATAAAAACGGCTCAGTAGAAGTTATTGGCCAACGACGATTGATTGCTCTAATATGCCCCACCTTCTAAAGCCAGGGAATTAAGACAAAGCAGGTAATCGAGGAAGCTGACCGCGACATCGTCAAGATGGCACTTGACAAGAGCGCCTCTCTCTTCAGTTGGTGCTTAACCATTGGAGAGGATGTGGACTTCCTTGTGCTTCTCAATGGTTTGGGATGGGCTGTGAAGGATGTTTATTTCCAGTAAAGTGACAGAGGTAACTCTGGCCCCTTACTATGTGGAAATTGTGTAAGTCCCCCCAGAATTCGAGTTGTTTCTCCACGCCTTCATTGGGTGGTGTCGAACCTCTGCCTTTTTCTGACATGGGAAGAACAAAATGTGGTCTGCAAGTCAGAAAAACCTTGAACTTATTACCACAGCTGAAGTGTTCCTTCAACCTCTGTATGGAGGAAACTATACTAAAGATACCCTCAATGGCTTGCGCTACAAGAGATTTGTAAAATCAGCCGCCTTTGCTAAGATTGACCCCGCCCGTTTGCCACAAACAGAAGATGGTGCAACATTTCACGCTTACAGAACTTACCACCAAGTTCAGAAGTGGTTGGGGGTGGAACTCAATGGGATAGAAGAAAACCCAACAGGGGCTCATTCCAACAACAATGATGAGCGAAGTGGAACCCCTCCTGCTTCTGAAATTTTTATCATGCGGTTGCAAGAAAAGCTGCAACGCAGGCGGCCGTACCTGCGTAAAAGCAGGCCTCAAATGCTCTGCAAATTATGCTCCAGTGTCGCTTGCCATAACGTCACTGAGCTTCAAATTGCCGATGAAGGAGAAGAAGACGTCGATTTTTTGACTGAATTATAAAGTTTTGAACTACCCATGAAGCGTCCAAAATGAACATGTTAACCAAAAATACCATTACAGAATACAATAATTTAAATATAAATTTCGTGTGGATGCATTGTATGATTTTTTCTTTCAAACTACCCTCAAAAATTACGAGAACTAAACAGAGCAAATTTGCGAAAAATGCAGTTTTTCCATTTTTTGAATTTTTAATATTTATGAGTACCCTATATGGTCTACAGACCGACTTAAATTACAGCTTACATTTGCCACAACATTTTTTCCATGTTTGGAGGGCTGTATCTTGGCATTGAGGCCATATAAAAAAATGAAGTTGATGATTTCTCCAAAACGAGACGTCGCATTGAAAATTTCTTAACGCTGTGTTGTAGAGCTCAAAAAATGGCAATGAGAAGTGTTTTTTATTTTTTTGTATCAGTTTAAATAACAATCAGAAAAAACTAAAAACGATATTGGCATATTTCGGTTGTTCTGATATATTTTCGGAAGTAATCGGAATTTTCTGGTTTTCTTTAAAACATGATAATAACGAATTTGTAAACTTACCCTATCAATTTTTTCCTGAAGAGCACACATCCTAGCTATCGAACCGATATTGTTTGTAATGGTTACTAGAGTGGCCTTTGCAAGATCTTCACGACTAACCTTGGAACGACGATCTCTTGAATTCATTTGTCCAAAACTACACACAGCCGAAAAACTTCATTTGGACCACATTAAGGTATAACATAGAGTGCAAAAAATAAAGCGAAAGTAAGAACAAAGTCATGCAACAAAAAGTAAGTAAAATAGAAAAGCGATTGAAAATTTCATGTAGAATTTCTCATAATGCAACTGTTTTTACATGTTACCCTAAAATAGTTTTAATTTAGATTTGTGAATTAATTAAAACACAATTCACTTAGACAATAGTTTTTAGTAATGCATTTTTTGTTATTTTTCTGAAAATTCAAAAATACTACGGGATTCTAAATTTTAAAAATGCTAGTTATTCATGCAAAATAGTATCAAAAAAGTTAAGCATAAAAGGAGTAAAATGCCTTATATTGAAATTCATTTTTGATAATTAATGATTTATTTAAGAATACACCAAAAAAGTCAATTGTTTTCACCCAATCCAAAAATATATAACTACTTTACCTTTTGACAAAATCAATGTGAGGCAGTCACAAGAGCTTATATACAGGGCCATTCACAATATAATATTTCTTCTGAGCTTTAAGAACATAAAATATGATATATTGCTTTTCTCTTACTAATGCAAATTAATTATGATTAATAGTATAAGACAAGAGTGAAGTGAACTATAAGAAAACAATGTTAAAGTGTTTAAATTCCATGCCAATCATAGAAGACGTTTAGATCAAGATGTAAACAATGAAACATACCTGCTCGCAACTAAGTCTCCAGGTAAACCAAATCTCTGATAATCACCACCATAAATGTCTCTAACCAACTTATCTACGTGTGTGTTGTCACCACCGGCTGCAAGCTCAATAGCTTCTTCAAACGAATTACACCCAGTTAACAAACAGCATAATCCCAAGAACGTACCTCCTCCTATACTGAAATAAATTACACACAAGTTTTATATAAGTGAGCTGATATTTTACCTACCTGGTTCCAGATACACGCTTATAATTATTTGGTCCATATACAGCTAAAACACTTACACCTGATCCAATATTTACAATAAGAAATGGGTATGGATTCGACAGATCGTAGTTCATTTTACAACATTTCTTCTCGTCAGTCGGTTCCGCCCAATAGTAGCATTCAGTGGGGTTATGGGCATCCACGTACTGCATACCTTTTATGAGTGAATCAAATTCATCGAATTTTGCTAACTTCATATTAACTTCCTAAAAATTCCTTATAGATATACATAATAGTGAAATTAAGCGTAATACTTTTTTAAAATCGTTTTCAAATTTGTATGCCCCACCGCCTGTGGCACAAACCGTCGATACCAAAGTAGCTATACCCTTGGACCTTGCCAGTATTAGAAAATTACCCATTTCGGATGTAGGGAATCGGATAAAGTGTAACGTTCCTTTTCGCCCTCTTAGAGGCACATTGTCCATCTGTGGAAAGAAGAAATTAAAATACCTAAACTTAATACTAAAAAAATCAATAACACAATTTTTATTTGGTTTATGAATAATTCATGTAAATATTTGGGCATTGTTCCAATAACCGTATTAATTATGATAGATCAACAAACTTTTTTTACAGGTATGTTTCAAAACACCTCTTTTTTCCATAGTTCCAAAAATTCTTGCAAAGTGACTGGTATAAGGATACCATGATTGGTTTTTTTTTTACAAAAACGGTATCCCTATCTACAGTGTTAAGAGCTTTAGGATGCGCGTACGCAGAAATCGGAAACAACCGATTCGCGCAAGTTTAGCATTGCAAATGATTGTGAAACCTAATCTGCAAACTGGTCTTTTTGTTATAGGTACTCCATTTTCCTCAAATGAGTCTTCATTCCTTAAGTGTCTTGAATTCTGAAGGTGATCCTGGTGTCAACAAGCTTGATCTTGATTCGACAGGGCCTAGTGCTGGTAGAGGTTTCGCTGCTGGTTCTGTTGGTACTATCTTTCTGGGGTTGGTGTAGGATTCTGATCTTCGAAGTTAATGACATCACTCTTATACTCCTACAGTATTCAAAGATGGCAATAGACTGCTTTTCTATCTTGAAGATCACATCCCTTGGCACACTGACTTCAAATTCCTCTGGTATCCATACGCGATAACCTTCCTTATTCCCACAGTACCCAACTAGATAACCTTGATGAGCTTTAGTGTCAAACATATCATTCCAATGCTGACAATGCCCCTGCCACTTTCCTGGGAAAAACTCCTTAAAAGTAGAAAACCAATTACGATTCATGGTCATGCGCTGCGTTGCACCGGAATCTGCAATCCAAACATTGGGGGAATCCACAGATGACGATATCTGATTGGCTAACAAACGCAGACCCTTCCTAATTCTTCTCAGACTTGGACTTCTTGCAATTCTTACAGTTCCGCTTATATTTAGATTATTTAGATATCTATCTGTGTTACTTTTTAAATTGCTTTAAATGTGTTATGTTATATGACTGGTCTTATATCCCAATCTTGTGACCAAATATATTATTATTATTATCTCGATTATTATTACTATTATGGCCTAACACGTTTGTAACATTTTTGGGACGAACTTCTTTGACTTGTCGCCACACTCACCGCCCTTACTGTGACCATTCCCCTGCTCAAGTTTATTGGACTTATTTTGACTTGAAAAATAGGCAGCATGCTCAGTGGAACTATTTAAGCTTCTATCATTCAATTGCTGCTCAACAACACATAATCTCTCCCTAAGATTATCCAACGTTCGATACTGACTCCCAACCATTAAAAAATTAGGATTACGAATATAACAGCTCCGAATACAGAAAGGGTTGTATTTGCAAAATGAAATATCCCATATTGGAAGCTCTCTATACATTGGTAGACTTTATAGTTGTCTAACACATTTTTGCTTTTCCAAACGGAATTGACAACTCTATTAATAACTTTACATTCTAAAAATATTTTCCACTAGAATTTTCGAGACATGAAAGATGAAAAACAAAGGAATTAGTAGCTGTAAAGATAAAAGCAATTTGAAAGTATAACATAAGAAAGCGTGTTAATTACGATAATAAAACTTATTAAAATCTAACAGTGAACATGCGTACTGTAATTACTTCGCCTGAGAGACCGTAGGTATCAGTATTTCAATTTCACATATAAAATTAAATAAGCACTGCACTTGGTCTCAGGTAAACAAATGTTAAACAAAACTTACCTGTAAATGAGTATCTCGATGGCCCGTTTTTCCATAGGATGAATTCTTAATGAGGTATTTTCTAATTTTTTTAAGTATTTCTACTTCGGAATCCAATTCATCGGGGGATATATTTTTGGGTTCAAAATATACTAATTTGCACAACGTTCCTCCAATGTCCATTCCAAACCACGGCATTGCTATAAAGAAACGATTATTTCAATCAATTATCAAACGGTGCAACTTTGAAAAGCAGTGTAGTATGTTGATTATATCTAGTACTAAACCGAAGTTCTCTACTTGTAGAGGTAATGAGAATTTTTTTCTGAATCTCTACACTGACAACACGGTGGAGATTATTGCCGGCTTACATTTATCTATGGACCATAATTATGGAAATGATGTACAACCTCTCAGTTTTATCATACATTATGGGCAATAATAAAAAATTAAAATACAATATATGGATTGCCAAAATAGATGCCAGCCTATGACAAATCTGACACTTGCCATAACCTTGCTACCTTAATATCTTTTACGTAAATTACCTACGTCGAAATGTAAAATCTACACTAGTAGCGCTAACCTTGATGATAACGATTAGTACATTTAATTGTTCCCATCCTACAACAGATATTAAATTTAAGAATGTTCCCAAGAAACAAATGAGTCAGAAGCATGTCAAATAAAAATTCAATTCAGAATTGAACTTTCAGTTAAATTGATCAGACATACAGGGTCACTGATAAGTCTGGAAAATGGATACATATACAAAATATCAAAAAAAGTTTTTGGGTTCTTTAATACCTACTAGGCCGTAATAACTTTAATTATACAACGTTGATCATAAAGGCGTGGCGCACCAATACTGCATTTTTTCAAAAGGAACACTCTACATTATTTGATATTTCAATTTTTCCCCTCAATTTTAAGCAAAATTTGTAAGAAGCATAGTATGGAGTAAAAGGAGCACACTAGGTAACAGGCTGAAACTTTATTTTGTAATTTTTTCGCCTTCCAACGAACGGTACTAGACACTGGAAAACATACTTCCTCGCAAACTTCTATCAATACGAATCGAAAACTGGGGGTAGAAAACTTTATGCGACGAAAAAAAAATACTGCTGCCAACGGACAGCGGTTCGACCTCGAAACTGGCAAAAGGCGTCTTCTTCTTCGCGTCTGTCGTATGTAAACAGAACTCCCCGTTAATTTTTGACATCCAATAAAACTGGCTAGCAAGGATAACAGCCAACAGACGAGCCTCAGATACCACATATATACACTTAAATTTATAAGATTTATTTAATTCAAAACAAGAAACTTGATAACTAGGACTAAGATTTTAATGACGTTCAAAAACAGCGAAAATGCAATTATTACTTAAACATTTAAAAACATAACATAAATTTTATTGATGAAACTGAATAAAACCCAAAATTATTTTATTAAGAAATTAGATAAGATGAGGAAAACATTGTTGGTTCATGCTACCCTCTGCAGGCCAGTCGCAGAAGCAGATAATAGATGACACAAAAACTCCAAAAAACGCACCAACAAGTTGCTGTCATTTGATTCAATTTATCCTGAAACATGTTTACATATAACAGAGCGATGCCTCAGACTTTCAGGAAAAAAATACAAAATCATCAAAATCTTAGCCCTATTGATAACAAATAAAATTGAGAGATAGAACAATTTTGCAAACTTCCAAATTCCCACAAATGCCTTATCGTTCACACCAGACTTTAGGTTCATGTACTGCCTATTATACATATACTTCTTTCCCTGGATTTAGGAATGTAATTTTTTTAGGATAAATAACTCGGTTTTTGCTCTTTGCTTTTGTCGTAAGAAAGGGTTTATGCGGTTATGCCCTAAGAACATCCTAAACATTTTTTTAAAGGAATCAGAACAATTATGCAAAATTTGCCTTTGGGATCATTTAGTCTGACAAGTTGTGATTAATCTTCACAATGACCTACAGCTACACTAGATAATGATGACCCCAAACAATGATAGAAGTGAAAAGCGAGATTACCACTGCATTGTGGATTAACTTAGAAACTAACAACCAAGCTAAAAAAATTAGGATGCTTATTTTAAGGAAGGATATCCAACGAGCAGTTCCTGCCCGATCAGCATAATTTATTGTATCTATATGAAATAAGAAAACTTTTCATATTCACCTCTAATGATTTTTGACGAGCTAGTTGTTATGAAAGCCATTCAAGTTGTACATAAAACTAAAAAGCACATGCAGAATGACTGAGAGTCTGTGGTCGAGAAACTATATCTAATCAAATCTACCTAATTACATGACCGATATTATCAATTAAATATCAGAAAAGATAAAAAATACATGTAAACCACCAATCCAAATCTAAATTTTTTCCCGGCAATCATTCACTTAGGTAACTTTCTTTTTCAAAACTGATGTTGCAGGCGTTCATTTCTTATATGACGACTATAAGTTTTATAGCGCCCTAGTGGAAAAATAATGCAGATGTCCGTTCCTGTTAGCTCTTAGATTAAAATGTAGATTTTTGAAATTTCTTTCTTACAAAGCTGATGGTATTTATCCAGAGAGAGGTCATCCCCAACATTTACTGCTGTCTAGATTCAACTTAAATTCACTAGAAGAAAGAAGAATTAAGTCTAACGTCACATTCCTGTATAATCTCTTTCATAAGAAGATAGACTGTGGCGAGATACTAAAATTAATAAATTTATATGTACCATTTTATGCTTCACGGTCGTCTACCAAATTTTATTGCTCTAAACCGAACACAAACATATTGGCTGCTTCTCCTATTCATTTTATGTGTGCAAATTTCAATAAAATATCAAATATGTGCGACATCCACTTCTTACCTCTAGATAGTATCTTATTAAGGCGCCTCTGAAGTAAATTTGTTGTGCTAAACGGAGTGTGTAAAGTTGCCTAACCTCTTCAAAAGAGCATGTTACAAGTAGAAAGAGATGATTGAATTTGTCCCATTCTATTTGGTGTCTCTTTATTTATAACCTTTCAATGGATTTAATTATAAATGCAAGGAGCCTAATAACACTTGCCTAATGAGCTTTTCTATTGATATTAATAAATTCATCTTGTTTATTTATTGCATGGTAATTAAAATACTATTAGTTTACGTATTTTCCTGTTTAGTGTTTATTCAAAGGATTTTGCGTTTTTCAAGTATGGATATTTTTCTCTAAAGCAATATTTTGCATATGGTGCACTATTATTACCGGCGATTGTAAATTAGGCCGATGGTTAGGTACCTCATTATTATAAAGTACCTATATGAAAATTTGGTCGGTGTCCAATTTAGATTGAGACACCACAAACCGAATCAATCTAGTTACGTTTGTTGATATACAGGAGGAAAGCGAAAGTTTTAGGTTTTGTGATGTTATCATATCTTGCTACCCATGCAAAATAGAAGAAAGGTAATAACTGTCAGTTTTAGATATTTTTACGTAGAATCTAGTGGACTAGTAAAAAAAGTGTTGGACCACTCTGAGATTTGATCCGAAGTTGGTGTTTTTTAAACACCGTATGTTTCATAAAATCAGTTGTTTGCTTTCTTTGTTCTAATTACACTGATGTATCACAACCCATATAAATTTTTCAATTTTACCCATGAAAATGAATAAAAACGTAAGTTTTTACTGTTTGAAATACAAATAGCAGATTAAATAGAGATTATGGTTTTTTTAATTATATCCATGGTAACTAAGGCAAACTATACCAGTCAATAATGCTGATACATAATTGTAATCAGGATAAAGAATGAAAAAAAATATTGCAAAGCAAATGTGAGATGTGGAAGTTGGAACGGAGAAAGCGTATAACTGCTTCCACATTTGGAAAAATATGCAAGATGACAGCGAAAACGGTTACGGCACTTCTTTACAGCACATTTATGGGAACACATGCCACAGAATTTGGACTAATCCATGAGGTCAATGCTATCGCATTATTTGAGCAGCAGTATGGAAAACGTGTTCAAAAAAGTGGTCTAATCATTGATAAAGATATTCCATTTCTTGCCTGTTCACCGGATGGGTTGGTGGAGGATGATGGTGTCGTTGAGGTGAAGAGCTCCGAAAAGAGCGGGGACCTGTCACCGATAGAAGCCTTCCAATGCGGAAAAATCGACTTTTTCCATAAACCAGGTGACACATGGTGTTTGAAAAAAAACCCATAGCTATTACTATCAAGTACAAGGGCAACTGCACATAACAAATAGAAATATTTGTTACTTCATAGTATACACCAGAGGCGGCATACATGTGGAACAAATCGAAAGGTAATAATTCGCATTTTTTCTGTGAAAGATATGTTAATTTGTTTTTGTAGAGATGACGTTTTTTGGACTACCAAAATGGCGGAGAACTTATCTGACTTTTATTACAACTCGCTAATCCCGGAATTGGTAGATCCACGAAGAAGTAGAGGACAATACCTGAGAACAATTTACATGAGTTGAGGGGGAGGTGCAACACTATGCATTAATTATTTAATAAAGTATTTTTTCTTATTGTAAATATGTATTTGTATATTGTATATAAAAGTATAACATTTCTTTGTCTATTTTTTAAAATCATCTTTTCCTGATACTTATGAGTCCCTTCACTGTTGTTGTGAGACGTATCCCTACATGTTTTATATTCAATAAAGATTTATCGCAATAAATTCGTTGCTGGGTATTTACTATGATCATTATTGACCAAATTACCTATTTGTTATTTACGTGCTTAAATGAATTTAATTTTCATAGAAAGTCTAAAAAGTGTTAAAGCGGAACCGCTATTGATAAAAGGAACTGCGAAAGTGATTAAATCACCCAAATCTTTTTTCAAAGTTGGACCTTTTCTATAAAAGATGAAAAAATAGCTATCCGTACGAATAGTGGACTTTGTTAGCAGATTATACTGCGTTCCATTCGGTCAAAATTACGTTTCGGTCATTTTGCCGTACATATGCGCCGTGCGAACGAGGGGTCAGTAGGATTAAAAAACAGCGGAAAAAATAAAAAGTTATAGATACCCGCAATGAAAGTATAAGCCACAAGGAACTCGACAAGATGGTAAAAAGGTGTATATTTAAAGGAATTCCCTCTATTTGTGTCATAATGCATATTTAATCATCTAATTACCCTATAATTAGCGAGGTACAAAAGCAACAGTCAAT